TTGTCACGAACAATACCCTCTTAAGTTTCATGGACTAGATCAGAATATAAAACATTTTAGTTCACAAGAACAGAAACAAAGAAAAAAACCACCAACCCTTGCAATAAATGCAGCAGAACCAACCAAAGAAGGTAGGCAGTAAGAGGGTTGCCATTGATGGATCTGAATCAGACTACTAGGCCCACCAGTGGATGACGCTGAAGCTCTACAGAGCACCTAGCAAAGGAAAAATCTATTTTTTCAGTAACAATTCTCAGAGGAAAAACAAAGTTGACAGATATGTTGGACTCATGTGGGAAAAATTTATCACGTTTTACTGAGAGCATATTCTCTTCAGGGGATTAAAACAGAGACTATGGTTCAATCTCTGTTTTGAATTTGTAAAAACAATTTCTCTAAACACATACCTAATAGCAGTTTTCTACAATTCACAAAAACCACATATGTCAAAACTAGTAAGTAGCAAAGACGAAACTATGAAAATATTTGAAAATTTATACCCTTAAATTCTGTAAAGGAGAAGATACCAATATTAGTCTGGCACAAAAATCCTGCTTATCATAGCACAAAGGCCGCAAGGCTTAACAGAATCACTTCTTCTCCCTCTTTTAATACTTACTTTACAGAGAAACATTTTTTTCATCTGGTGATATGCTATGAATGTTTAGTCTGTGGCTGTGGGCATTTTATATATCAAGGACCGCAAATAAAGACTAAGAACAACAACAAACCCAGTATCTTATTAATTTTGTTTTCTTAGATTTATGCATAACTCGCCTCCTCTCTGATTGCAGTGACACAGAGGACAACCACGCAGGACAGTAAAGTAGACCACATGTATCTTTGCTACCGGAAAAATGAGTATTCCTCTCTTCCTGGCTTGACACTGCTGTCCCCATTCTGTGTACTTGCTCTGGCACTCATCTGACCACACAATAAGATAATTCACTTTGCTAATCCAAGGGAGGAGGAGAAGAAAATTTAAAAAAAAAGCAAAACAAAAAGAAAAGAAATAATGTTCTGCTTGGTTAGTGGAGTGAATTAACTTCTCATGTACTTAGAAAACTACCAGAGTCACTGCAATAGAGCCGTACAGCCTTGCTGTACCAAAACCAGGGAAGAGTGAGTAACTGGGAGTACTCCATGCAGAGGCATTAAGATGCAAGAACTGCTACTTGGCCTCTTTAATATCAACCTACTCTCAAACTTACTTCTTACCCACATCTAAGAGCCTGCATGACACACTTCATTGATGCAGCAAAGTACAGCACACATATTTGTGGCTTTTATTTGAAACTCCTAGGACAAGGAGGTTTTTACACAATATATGATAGAAAATCACATATATTAATTTAAAATATATGGGGTCTTTTAAAGGTCAAACACAATTTTAATTAAAAAGATCATTCTACAAAAAAATGCACCTGTAAAATAAAAACAGTAACCCAGCTTTTTGGTGGTAGAGTCAGAGAAACTAAACTACAGAAGAGGACCAAGTATTTGCAATTTATTTCAATATTTTTATGCACATATAACTGTACTACAGACATACATGAAGTAGTTTAAACAAGTAGTTTTTATTCTCTTCCCACACTAATTTACTTGCATTATGTTACAGTTTAAGTCACTTGATCACATACTATTTTTCCCCATGACACCTGTCCCATTCAGTGCCCTAGATGGACTCTGATCCAGGGAAACATTGGCATTGTGCACTGAAGGAAGCTGCTCTCTGTGGACCAGTCCATTGAAAATGTGTAGATACAGAGGGATCAATAGCAGAACGGAAGAGATGCAGGCGTTCGGTAAGAGCACCAGAAACCCAACAGACAGTGAAAGACCCCCACAGGATCAATTAGTGCAGTGAAGATGTGTACCTTAGAAGAGATACAAATATCTAACCCAGCTCCCAGCTAGCAGATTTGAAGCTCCATCCCTCAGTAACAACTTCCTTTTCTCAAATTGCAGACAGAATCAATTTTTTTTGATGTTATGAAGCATGTTCTTCAAAGAGGGGGAAGTGCATGTCATTGTGTCCCTTTACAACCTCACACGTGCTAGAGTAGATAGCAGAATTTACTTGCAGAAATTCTCCTACCTTCACGGATTCCATGCCTGACTCCCTTGTTCAGAATTTTCTACAGGAAAATCAGAATTTCACAGCTTTTCCTCACTTTGTAGCTGAAGTAAAAACAATCTGCTGTATCTCCATTCCATTCTGCCCGCAAAGCTAAGAAAAGCAGTGCTGACATGGAAACAGCAGTCCTTTTAGGAGGCTCAAGGAGACATGATGGTATCGATATACATTAAATACATTTTTCTTACATTTACAAAAAGTGGAAATGGTATTGCAAAATCCATGTCTGCAACTACTCATGCCTTGGGTTTCATTCCAGTCATTTGAGGAAGCTTCCAAGCTCCCACCCACAATCGAACTTTGACAGTTCACTTTCACAAGCTGTTTTCATAAGATGTTTTCTGGTTTGTATGTTACCATCAGAATTTTTAAAAATTTTTGCCTATCAAGTCTATTACAGCTGATGAAACACAATATAGGAAGAACCCGTTGTTCTTTCCAAAAGAATAGATATGGGAAACACCCACCATATGTCAAAAAAACCCAAACGAATGTACAATGAAGTAAGTTTGGTAACAAATATTATGTCAGAATGTTTCTCTTCAAAAGAATTAAAGAAAACATTTTTATCTGATCCATTACAAATGAGATTTGGACAAAATCTTGTGTATCCCCAGCTGCATTATTCTCTCTATTCAGCCAGCCTTCCTGATCTCCTTCAGACCAGGAAAGGGGAAAAAAAGCCAACAACAACAAAACATTTACATGAAAGTGACAAAGAATTTAAGAAAATGATAACCAAAGAGTAAAGGGAGCTTCTTTGTGGTGTTTATGGTAAATTTTCTCCCCCGTTAAATAAAATTTAAAGTTGAGGATCTTTCATATTAGCAGAGTTTAGTAAGATGGACTTCTCAGCAGCTGGACATAAAGTAATTCCCAGAGGAAATTAATCATAGGAAATCACAGCATATTTAATCATGTCTTAGTTCAGTTTACAAAAACTGTCCCATCCCACACATCACTTTACAGACACAAGCCCAAGGCCACGAACACTGTCACAATGCTTTGAATGGCATTTCAAAGGAAAAAAGATGATCATCGCAGCGCCAGAACAGGCTTTATTCTTTCAAAGTACTTAAATATTTTATGAGCACCTTTGCTTTTACAGGGAAGAAAATAATTTCCTCCAAGTGCAGATCAGTGGATGCTATCTAATCTCCTGTCACAAGAACGCGATCCTTATGTATCTGCAACTCATCAGCATAAGCATCTACATCTCATTTTTTTTTCCCCATCAAGCACTGATGGGCTAATTATTGGCTCATCTCAAGAAGGCCCTCAGAATACCAAGGAGGGCCCGCCGTCCCCGCTCCCGGCTCGCACGGGCACCGCTGCCCGGCAGCTGCGGGAGCACCGGGGGGGGCGGCCCGGGGAGCGCCCTCCGCCCCTCCCCGCCCCTCCCCTCCCGCTTCCTCCGCCGCGCCGCGCTCAGTGCCGAGAATCGCCATCGGGTTTTTGTTAGCGCAGTAACCCGTTCGGCCCCGCGGCCGCCGCGCAAAGTGGGCCCCGCGCTGCCCCTCGGCACCGGGGGCAGAAACACGCGATTCCTTGTCTTCCCCGGGAAAGCGCCCCGAGAGCGAAAAGCTCACGCCTTCGGGGAAGGTGTTTTCGAGCGCAGGGGACCCGCCTCGTCGGGTGAAAATACGCAATAAGAGAAACGGCAAAACCCGCAGATTTTCTCCACCACCCTTTTCCCAGAAGACATTATTTCAAAGGAGACGGAGGAAAACGCCGCATCTCAAACGAAAAGTGTCACTGATTTTTAAATCTGGAGAAACGTGCCGCTTCCAGCCCCGGGGCGCTCAGTGAAAGCGGGCAACCGAAAAAAATAAACCAAAAAAAAATAATTAAACCTCTGGAAAGGTCTCCGCTAGAATCACGGAAATCCGCCCGCGGGAGGGGAGGCAGGAGCGCAGCCCCAGGCCCGGGTGGGTGTGCCGGGGGCGCCCGGCAGGCGGAAAGGTGCGGGCAGACGCGGGCAGCGGGATCTGGGGGCGCCGCCCGCATCCTGCTTGAGGCGATGCCCCGTGGCAGCGGCGACATCCCCCGCCCCCGGGCCCGGCGGGGACGGCGGAGGGGGAGCTGACTGTGCCCACACCGTGCCGGGTCCCCTCCGCCGGCCGCAGCCTCCCCGGTGCCGGCGGGCGGGGCCGCCTGGCACAATGAGCACCGGGCGGACCAACAGCGCGACCGCGGCCCCGCTCCCCGCCACGGCTCCCGCCCGACCCGCACCCGGGGCGGCAGCGGCAGCAGCAGCAGCAGCATCATCCTCACACTCACCCCTCCGAGGAGGTTTCGCCGCGCCGGGGAGGGGCCGTGGCTCGCGGGTGCTCAGCGAGCCGGCATCCCGCGGGATGCGGGGGCGGAGCGCTCGGTGTCCCTCTGGCAACGGCCCCGGCGTTATTCCCTGCACATAGCGGCGGCTAACGGGCACCGCGGCGCCGCCCGCACTGCGCACGCGCCGGGGGACGAGCGGCGGCGGGGCCGCGCTGCGCCTGCGCGGGCCGCAGACAATAGCGCTGCCCGCAGCCCCGGGCGCCCCCCGGGCGGGCGATGGCCGGAGGTAAACGCCGCTCCCCGCCCGCTCCGCCCCGGCCGCCACGGCACCGGCGCTGCGCCCGCCGCGGGCCCCAGGGCGCGGGTGGGCGGACTGACGCTGTGCGCAGGCGCGAGCGCGGCCGCGATCCACAACAAAGGGGAGAGAGGATGCGGCGACCACCCTCCCACCGCCGCCGGGGGTGGGCGGGGGGCGGCCGGTGGGGTCCCGCCCCTCGCGGGGCGGTGCATGCCGGGACGTGTAGTCTCGGCGGAGGCATTCCCGCCGCCCGGAGGCGTGGCGGGCTCCCAGCGTTGCCAGGCTGAGCTGCGGCTCGGCCGGCGGGAACGCTCTGCGCTCGGGAGCCGCATGGGTTGCGCAGGTGGTTCCTCTGGGAGCTCGCTGCGGGAAGGCAGGACGAGTGGATCTACCGGGGCGCCGCGGTGTGGGGGGGCAGCGCCGGCGGCTCCCCTGGGAGCGGTGGCGTCCTGATGCGGGCGCCCCGCGGGGAGCGCGCCCTGGAGGAGTCCCTGGAGCGGTACCGGAGGCGCCTCCGAGGTGAGCGGCCCCGGCGCGGGGTGAGGGCGAGCTGCTCCATCCGCGCCCGGCCGCTCCTGCCCCGGTGTGCGCGGCTGGCGCGCCGCCGTCCCGCCACATCCCGGGCGGCCGGGCGGGGTGAGGCGGCTCGGCCCCCGGCGGCGGCACTGGAGTCACTCCTGGTCCTCCCCGCAACCGATGGCCGTGGCCGTGAGTGCTGTGACACGGGCTGGTCCCATCGTAACTTGGCTTGGATGGGGCCGCTGCTGCTTCGGGTGGGGTTTTGCTTCTCGGGAGGGCTTTGGCCGCCGTTGAGGCATCGGATTCTCGTCGTGGTAAAGATGAGGGCGCGAACTGATAATGGGAGTGATTATTTCCCACGTCTTTGGCTGTTTTCGTACTAGCCGCCTTGTCCACGAAGCGAGGTATATACGCTGGCAGAGAGCACTTCAGTCTCTCAGCTGTGACACCTGGGCTTTACGGTCTTTCACATAGTCTCTGTTTAGTAAGGAAGCGTCCAGATACTGACGAAAGCCTGTAGGTAGTTTGTGGGTGACACCGCACTTGACGCAAAAAGTTGTGTTCTGGGCACAGTGCCCACACGCGACCTGTTGTGATGCTATTGAATTAAATGCATAGTTGTAATATAGGCAACATTGAAAATGAAAAATCAATGGAAATATTTTGAAATAACTATTTGATTCTTAGCACGTATTTTGAATTTCCATCTTGAATTAGCATCAGTTCTTTCCACTGGTGATATATTTCATTTGTTCCAGAAGATAGAAATTACTCTTCAAATTTCTGTTTACTGGGCCTGTTGCTGAAGTGGGCATGGTGGTAATGCTGCCTGACACTTGCAGGTAGAACAGCTAAAATGACAATTATCAAGGCTGTTTAACTGTGTGTAAGACAGCTATTAGAGCTCATCCTATCTGATGATTGGACACGTGCATTCTGTTCATACAACTTATTTGTATTTTATCTTTATCTAACTGATCCCTTTACACTGGGTCCATTGTGTTTGTTAAATAATTTCAGAACCTGAACTTCTGGTGAACTGTTTCCCTTTACATTTTGAAAACAAGCAGTGCCAAGATAGGTTTGATTTCATACATCCAGGGTTGCCTTTCAGTAGAAATCAATCATGTATTGCAAACATAACCCCACTTCATGGTGATATAACCTAAGTTCCATTATATTTCTTGAAGAACCTCTTTTTTCTCAGTGATGTGCAATTTTTAACTTCTTTGAGCTGTGCAGTATTTCTCACGTCATCACTGTTAGGAATTTACTGTAGGACAAACAGATCACTATTACTCTCAAAGTGGTTAAATCTGATTCTTTACTTATTTTTCTTCTATAGTTGTACAACTTGAGACTCTTCTTCACATTGATATTGTTCCTGTCATCTGGATTCTGAAATTTCAGGTGGCGTGCCTTGGGCATTATTTGATGGTTTCAAAAAGCAGCATTCTTAAACTGTCTGTAATGCTTGACATTATCTGGGCCCAGGCTGACACACGGCAACAAGTTATCACCACCCATGCTGGACACCAGAAGAATCACTTTGTACAGCCTTACTCAGTTTGACGGAAGGGTGTATAAGTTCTCAAAGAGTAATTGATTATTTCAGTGCCTTTGTTGCAAAGAAAAATCGCTCAGGAGACAGGGAGCTCAAATGTTCAGTAAACTGTGTCATGTGGCCAGAGGGCAGAAAGCTGGACCAAAAAATCTGATTGAGACCTAACTGGTCTTAGAACCCAACAGAGTGGCTTTGATAAAATAACAAAGATTCTATAATGCAGCTTGTCCTAAATAGTGTAGACCTTGTATAATGAAAGTCTGTAATGCTGTGTGTAGTACTGAGTTAAGAGAGTGGTATTTTTACAGCTGGGGTTATTAGGTTACTGTGTTAACTTTCACACAGCTGAGATCATTCCAAAAGAACCTTAAAAACGTTAGGAGATAATAACATTTATACTAAAAAGTTATTATCAAGGGAGTAGAAGTATTTTGTAAAGGAGAATAAGTGGTGTTCTATAGTATTCACATTAATAACTAAAAATTTACAGGCATAATGTGAAGTACAATGGGCCTTCTACTATGCTATTGCCAAGAGCAGGGTGTGATGCCTTCCTATTACTTTCCAGTTTTCTCCCAACAGCATTAAATGGAGAAGTAGAGCCCACTTCTTTTTTTCTAGCATTTTTCTGGTTCCTCTAACAGAGAACATATAACTTATTTTTTATGTTGAGTTTTCTGCCTCATCAGTAAAGAGCACTGGCTCACTGTTGGGCCAGAGACAGTATAAGAGGAGGGGCAGTACCCTTTTAGGTACAGTCCCTGATACAGACATCTCGTAAATCTGCCCTAAGAAATTGTGGACATTATGTTCTGTATTCCACTGCATTACTGAGTGTGGTGTCAGAGAACAAAGATGCAAAGTGTAAGAGGAACAGATGAAAATATAGGACTTCTACAAATAAACTTTCATGTTATGGCTGCTTTATGTGACTCCAAAAATAATGTAGGAGAGATGTGAAGGCAAAGTCATCTTAGGAAAACTGAGCATGTGGCCCAGCTACCATCTCTCCAAGTTAGCTGTGACACTGAACCAGCCAAGAATTACACTCTAAATGGTAATCTATAATTGTAAGGGGTTTTTTCTAGCCTTTTTATTTTATTTGATAATTATTTCTAAGTGTTCTTCTGAACATATAATGCTCATGTAAGGGTGGAGAATCTGGGAAATGCTGGGGAGTCTTTCACACAGGAGGGTTTCTATACCTTAGGCAGGTGCTTTATGCTCTGCAGAAAGTGCTGGTTTAGGAACTCGTGACAATGACCACCACAGCTCCAGAGAACACTTTTCTCTTACAGATGGTAATTTGGTAAAGCTGTCTTGAAAAACCACTTAGTCTCATATAATGCAAACTATGAAGACAATAAAGTCCAAGAAACCAAGTTAAAAGGATTCATTATTTTGAAACAGCTGAGTATTACACATATCTTGGAATGTTTTGATGAACAGCCTGGTGTTGCCCATTGTTGCATGTAATATCCTAACAGCACAGGTAGTAATTGATAGAATACTTTTAGTCTCAAAACTGACATATAGTATGTTATTAGCATGGTAGCATACCTGTGTTTGGCAGCCAATAAAGAAGAATAACTGCATGTCAGAATGATAAGTAAATTTCAAGATGGAACACCACCCCCCAAAAAGCCACATATAGGCAAATTCTGTTTCAGTATTTTTCAGCAGTTACTTGGCTGAAGTGCTATCTCAGAAGAAGTACATGATGTACTATTTTAGATTTTTAACTGTCAATAGAAACTAAGTAAAAGTTGATATACTTTTGCACAGGAAAGTTTTCTTTAAATGGACATAATCTTTGTGTTTTCACTAGCTTGTCTAATTGTCTGTTTTGTCATTTACTGTTTCACATAAGTTTTACAATTTTTTTTTTTAAGGCCTAAAGAATTGGTGTAATTCCCTCTTCTCTGACTTTCTAAGGCCATATTCTGATTGGGAACCATGAGATATCAGAAAGTGAAGATGTTGAATTTATAGCCAGTAACTTCGTGTTCCTGTAAATATTACTAGAACTGGACTGTCAGCTTTAGATGACAGACTTATGGCAACTTTTTCATACAGTTGTAGTTTGTTTAATTTAGGTTGCTTAATGCTTCTACCAGCTGGAGTTATTTTCCATGTCTTTCAGGCAATTCTGTTGTTTTGGATGATTGGTTCCTTTGCTAAACTCTCCATTAGCTCTCAGAGTATTTTCTATGGCATTTCCAAGTTCATGAATGAGGTAACTTAGGAGCTTTCATTTAAAGGAGTACTCTTCATAAGCAGTGTCTGAAAAAACATCTCTTGTTCAGGCAATGCTAACCCTACTCAATGCCTTCTCTGTTTGTTGTTTTGTTTTTTTTTTTTTCTGTTTTCAGCAGGAAACTTTTCTTACACTGATTTTTATTTTAATTATTTTTTTAACTATTTTTGTTTCCCCCCCCCCCAAGGTGATTGCTACTTTGGAAATATGGCTACCTCTTCATATTGCATTTTACTTCAGAGTTTCCTGACTATCTTCTTTTTTCTCCTTTTTTTGACAAGCTGAATGGATCTTTAATGTGCCTCTAATGTAAAAAAATATTGTTCAGCAGTAGTATTGACACTCCCATATTAAAAAAAAAATCTACCATTTATTCAAAGATACTTCTATGGAAAAAGGATACCTATATTATATTTTCAGTGCATAACACTTAGATTTTGTAGTTACAATTAATACAGAAGATAATGGTAGTTATTAATGCTTCTTTCAGGGCACTGAAGTATCTGTGTTCATCATGTAGAGTATGTGTTGTGTTTTTCAAAGATTAATTAATGTTTCAGTCATGGTTCTATTGGTTTTGTCTAAAGCATTATGCTTAGCTGAACTTAATCTAGTCCAGAGTTGCATTCAAGTTTAGATGAATTGAGGGGCAGGAATAGCTTTGTACCCGGAATAATATGGTCTTGATCCTGGATTAGGATTGCTGGTTGCTTCTGTCTCTGAAATAATAAGCAGTAATATATTTCTTTCTATGTATTGCTAAGGTGTTAGATAAGTTGTCTGCCTGTGCCTTGTGGCAAGTACTGCCTGGGATTCATATATGCTGGTTGACAACTTGATAGCATTTTTGTGGAGCAATAGCTTTTTATTTTTTTTTTTTTCTTAATGTATTGAGTTTGATCCCTCAGGTTTGGGTGCTAGCTTTCCATTTTTCATAATTGTCTCAGATCCTTTAAACACTGAAACCCAAAGAGTTTTAAAGAAACAAGTGGGGTTTTTTTTAAGTTTTAAGACACGAGAGTCCAATTTCTAGTATATCCTCAGCTGTTCTTATAGGAAATAGCACATCAATGATGTTTTATCATAGAACAGGAATACGTGTTTGGATTTCATTCATAGAGTTTTGTTAAGATGTAGAAAAGAAAGATGCTGATTGATTTTGATATGCAAATCATAGGACTGCATGTGAGCAGTTTTATGAAGTATTTTTTACTGAGGTGCTGTTTCTGTAAAATGTAGTTTTACAGGAGTAACCTAAATGAAAGAGTTGATTGTAGGAGCACATAAAAATGAATTACTTTTAAATTAATTAAAAAATTATCATATTGTCTTTAAGCAAGAGTTCTTTGGTGTCCAGTAATTTGCATCCACAGAGGTTTTTTCAATTTTTTTCATATTTAAAAAGGATATTTTTGCATTGGCAGAAACAACAAACAACCCTTCCACTCAATGATGCATCCCTTACTTTGGAAAAAAAATGCTAAAATGTACTTACTCGCCTTTACACACCCAGTTCCACTCTTCTTTGTTGTATGTAAAGCCAGACTATCATGAACCCCTAACTCTTAGTTTCTCAGGGGCAACTCTTTTGCGAGTGGTTTGCTTATGACAGCAACATTTGTAATTCGGAAATAGGCAGGCTTTTAAGACATTTAAGCAAATACTTGATGAAGCTTTCAAGAATGTGGTGACACTATTCCAGAGGCAGGAAAGAGTAGTCAAAAAAAAATAGACATCATAGTCCCATTGATAATGGTTTTAAAGTGTTTCACTGTTACTGACTGCCCTGTATATTTTATGGGAGAAGGGTACATGGTGTAAGAAGATCTCTATTATCTTTGTGGATCAAGTAGTACCTTTGAGTTCAGAAGCTCTAATATTACAAAGACAGAGAGAAGTTTTGGAAAAACCAGTATGTATGGGCTTGTTTAGTTTTGGTTTGATTTGTTTTGTTGTTTGTCACTGGCTGTGGAGCAAATATTGATACTCAGGTTCTCTGACAAACATCTACAGTGAATAGGGAAATGAAGGAACTTTATTGCTATCAGATAACACACCACATAATATGACATTGAACACTTCTTGGCAACAACTAGTTGCAACATAGTTTGCTAAATATCTAAGCCATTGCATCAGTGAGATACTTCTGGCATTTCTCAATTAGCTCTCCCGCCCTCAAAGCATCCTGGAATGCTCAAGAACGGATGAATAACATAAGTATGCCAAAAGAGAAATATTTGACCTAAACCCCTGTTTTTTGAGTCATTGCCTTGTGAGCTGTGTTGGAGGTTTGTTATACAAAATTATGGCTGTTTAAAATGTGCTTTTCATGTCTTCTTTTGCATTAAATTTATTAAAGGGTGGGGTACCCAAAAATCAAAAGAGGTGATGTCAGCCATAAGATTACTTGACTTTAAAAATGAGTGCTGAGAGAAGTCAGAAATGGGTGAGGTTTCTATTAAAAACTAGTATTGCTGAAAAGAGAGTGATGGTTGGCATACTGGACTGAGAACCATGTTTTTAAATATAATGCTTTTTGGGGTATTATTTATATTTTATAAGCTGTTGGTAAGTTACCAAGCAGAGAAGAAGACCCAAAAAATGGTGTAAACCATTAGAGTGGGGAAAAAATTCAATTTCCCAGCTTCAGTCAAGATGATGTGAACTTGAAAAAGATAAAGTGAAGACAGAAATACGTATCTAGCTCTTTTTTTCTGACTTGAACTGCTATTTACCTTTCCCTTTGGAAGAAAGGAGCTATTAATATTCATAACCAACAACATATGTTATACACTGAGGCATGCCTTCTGAATTCTATCTAGCAAATGCTTAACTATGCTTATTTGTTTAAGCTTTTTTTTGTCAGTGACAAAAATATATTTTCAGTTACTTGTGCATCATATCAATTTAGAAATAACAAGCATATAAAAATAAGGATGTGTGTTGCAAAGGATTGCAAAATTTTGCAAAAATGCAAACATTTTTGTAGTTGTAGCAGTTGCTCCACTAGAAGATTTTACCTTATAAACTTGGCTCACAAGAGTGAAATTCCTGTTCTGTGGGCAGATATACCTAAATGTTTCACACATGATAGTCTTAGGGGAGAATAGCCCTCTGAAGAATTCAAGGCTAAATGAAGAAAATGGCTATGATTTTATGTTTCTGAAGGTCAAGTGAGGTTTTGAGAGTGTGGGTTTTTGTTTTGTTTTAAATTAGAAACAATTAACTTAGACGTTACTTAGGAGAAATGTAAAAGAAACATGTCTTCCTGTGTTCCTAATAAAGTGGCTGTGAATCATGTTGGAGCACTGTCTCACCAAGTGTGTACCCTCTGTGACTGATGTACAGGTCATTTTCTTGGTTCACTTGGTACTACAGCAGACCCTGCTTTGTTGAACATTGCATGAAACCATACTACTTAGGTTACTCTTCTCTTTTCTGGTTAGTATAATACATTGCTTAAAGGGAAGTGAAATAAAATACCCATCTTACAACTACACAGGTAGTTGAAAGAAAGAAATAATAAAGCAGTTGTCTGAGGTCCTGTGGTGTGAACTAGACATATCCTTGTCTGAAACCAAGCCCATATTTTCTGACTTCCAAGTCAGTTGTCATCTCTCAGCTACAAATCTCTCAAATTTCCTTTCTGGAATATTGGAAATGTTAAGCTGTGTCAGAGGGATATGGCATTTATGATTGGCAAATTTTGGCGTTTTTGTGAAGTCAGCTGAATCAAATTAAAAAAAAATTAAAAAAGGAATATAAGAAAAAATATATTGAACATTAGAAAAGACCACTACTGTCAGTAAGTCAGTTCTTGAAAGTATTTGCATTTATCTGGAAAGAGGTTTTCTGTTGTGTGTGTTGGGGTGTTTTTCTAGAATAGTGAGTGTTGTTATTTATTTTTCACACTTGTTCAGAAGTCATCAGTCTTTATTAAGTAACTATCTTATGTTGGCTCAGTTTACTGAATTACTAATTTATATACTTAGGTATTTGTTTTGTTGTGTGATACATTGCTTTGTAATGTGTGGTGGCATCATTGGAAAGCAAAAATATTGTTCTTGGTTCCCAGTCCTGTATGTTGTATAAAATGTAGCATGAGCTTTAGGTTCATTGAAAAGTACAGAAAGTGTGTATGTTAGGAAATATTTTAGGGTCAGGTGTTGTTACTTGTTACTTGTTACTTGCTGCTGCAGCAGAGTCCTAATGTGTTGAGGGGCTAAGATGCTATTTATAGCTGCTTCTTTGAATATTTAGTAAATATTTAGCAAGTATTTTATAAATATAGTAGTTGTTTTGGCTGTTTGAATTAGGAAATTGCTTTCAGTGTCTGAGTTTAGGTCAAGTAGTCAAGCTAGACACGTGTTGAATGCTTTTAGGTCTCTCGTTTTTTCCAATTAAAATACCAGTCAGTAAATACTTTCTTTTATGTTGCTTATTGTGGCTAATGATGGGATTGCTTTTTTTTTATTTTATTTGCAGAACGTGCTACTGAAAGTATCCATCAACTGAAATATGCCTTGGCAAAGGGTGAGGATGACATTGGATTTGACCAGTCCTCTGCGGATGAGAGCAGTGATGATGCGGACAGGGAAAATGATGACTGTGGGAATGCGGCCAGGCAGGAACCGCAGCACAGTCATGCAGGTAATTTTTCTCTAAAAGCAAATGGTTTAATCATTTTTAGAAATTAAACTAATTTATTTGAAAAAAATAAGTATTTTTTGTTATAATGGTGTTGGTTTTTTTTTTTTTTGTCTCTTCCTAGTTAATCAACTTAAAATTTTGCTGCAACATCAAGAGAGAATGGAAAGTGAAGTCTCTCCATCAAGAAGGAAGTCATCATTCTGTGTATGTTTCTTCTGGTTTCCTTTGTGTTCTTTGAATGAATGGCATGCATGTTGAGAACAATTTCATAGTATGCAGGGAGAAAAAGAAGCATTGAATCGTTTTTATATTCTTAAATACACAAGATTGCTGATGCTATGGCCAGACTTCGGTATGCTTATGACCACAGTGAAGGAAAAAGGAATCTATAATACAGGGTCAGACTTTTCTCCTTCTTTGTTGATCATGCAGTGTGGGTTATTTGTCCTGTTTGTTTTGTAAACAGTTGGGGTAAACAATGTGGAAAAATTTCTGTAAAAGCAGCCTCTGTTTTCCTTTGACTGTACCTTAAGGATTCTCAATGACCTTCTTATGCTGTAATTATGCTTTTTCTTTAAAGGATTAGAAATGTTCATGTAAGAACAGGTTTTGTAGTCCTCTGCCAAAATGCAGTGCTTTCAGTGTAATTTTGTTTATACCCTTGCAAGGGCTTCTAGGTTCTGCTTTCTTGCAGCAAAACTACACAGAAGCATGTGCAGTACACAATTCAGTTACGGAGCAGCTGCTAGTTAATAGAATCTCTATGGGAAGATAATTCAAAGACCTTGTTACAGTTTTATCTTTTGATGGCCTTTACTGACTGTTTTTGGTTTATACTAAGCAAGACAAGCAACTCTTTGCTGTCAAAGCTGAGGTAACAGCAGAATGATCTAAAGCCTGTATTCCTGCTGTGTTGCTGTCAGCCTTTGTAAAGAGCCTAGCTGTACTGTTCTGACACTGAGAAATTTGATTTAAAGTTAACTTCTCTGAGTGTTCTAAAATTCATGAGTTTAGTATGGTTGTCCTGACAGGTGTTTTGCCTCACAATGACATAGGAAAGAGTTAGTGTTTTGTAACTCAAGGGAATGATGGTTGGTTGACCTTGGCATGTCATGAATCAGTATCCGTTTGTATTTAGCCTGGGAGGGGAGGGAAACAATCTGTTATTCCACCTTTGGTGAAGTTTTCTACTTGTATTGGAAAGTTTTAGTAGAGTGGAAAATTCAGTAAACAGAATACTTTTATTTAAGAAACACGGGCTAGTGCTTTCAGGGAGTGGGTTAAAGAATGGATGAATAAACAGAGGAAAATGGGAATATACTGTATTAGTAGGGCATTGTCTCATTTCTTCCTCTTGAAGTTTCCAGTGAGTGGCATTCTGTGAAGTAGTATCCTTATTCTTCTTTGCAGCTGTCCTCCACCTGCTTACTAAATAGGATGTGAAAGTGTTCTGAAGACAGACCAAGTGTAAAGCTCAAAAAAATGTAAAAGTACGAAAGTGTGCACACACCAAAAGTATTCCAAACCCGTATAAAATATGAGCTCGTCTGGTGATTTACTGGACACTGCAGAAATGCTTCTTTTATAAGAAGAACCCAATTCCCCAAGGTCAAGGAAAGCAAACTTAAAATGTCAATAACCTTAACCTTTTGCTTTGAGTTGTACTGAAATACCTGATGGCAACTGAATACTGTATGACTGCATGAACTGTAGTTAAAGCAAATATTTCACAGAAAGTATACTGTTTAGGAACCTTTACCACGCTTGGTACATATAAATTACATTGTCTTAACAAAATTCCCTTTTCTTTCTCATTGATAAGAGTTGCAATAGACATCAAGTGAGTAAATCTTTTTCTTGATTTCATCCAAACAGTTGGTGAAAATTTTCCTTTTGCTCTACATTTCACTGCCTGAGGTCAAGGACCAACAAGATTGCTTTACACAGCAAATGCAGTTCTGCAAGCTGGGTTTTGGCTAACCTAGCTGCACCTAGCCTCGGTTCCTGACACTGCAGTTGTAGCCTGGAGTTTCTGTGATGGATTCCTGGTGTTTGTTGCCAGTTTACAGGGTGGCAGAGTTTCTCTGGTTCTGTGGATTAGATGTTTGAAATTTGAGGCATTCAGGAAAAGTACAAGGTAGGCCAAATTATTTGTGATGTTGACAAAACTTTGTCACCATGTAGAATGCTGACTTTTAAAGCTGCTAAGCATTTATATTTTATAAATCCTTTTTAATATTAAGTGTGCAAATGTGAACAGGATTTCTGAGACTCAGGCATATAAATGTTTGGTAATTCATACTGATCAGATGTGTCTTTCAGTTCTGATTTTAATGTTCAGCCTAATTTAAATACCTGCCTCCCCTGACCATTGTTCTTTCACCCTATAACATGTTATATTATCAGAACATTAATAAAAAATCCCAAATTAATTTCTAATCAATTTATAACAATTATGTTATAAAAAAGGTTTAAAAGAGTCACAAAGAGGGGTTCTCAGGAAAATATACATTTTTTTTCTTTTTAGTGAAACCATTTGTTACCACTATTGTTTACAGTACACTGATGTTTCTCAGGTTAAATATTAGCACATTGTTTTTCAGTGAAAAATAATTTGTATAGAAATGGAGTTTTCCCACATTTTTAACACTGTTGTGGTGTAATCTTTTCATTCAGCTGGAGGTGTCAGCTGCAAGGTGTTCATTACACTTTCAGAGAAGAGGGAGGGATGAATAAAAGGCAGCAAAACAGAAAAATGAGTGACAAATATCATCAGGGCTATATTACATACACTTTAACAAGTGTGGTTCATTTCTTTTAAAATTTATGAAGTAGTAATATTAACAGACTTTAAATCAAAGTGAATTCTGAGTTTAGAATTCATGGGACTTACATGCACTGAGCCAGATGAAACATGGTGCAAATTTGGAGTTCCTTCTCTAAATGTTTTTCCAAAGGCTTCTGAATATCTTCCATTTGTTTCTCCAGTTGTAGTCCCAGATACCTCATGAGTTCCTGAAAATGAGTTCTATGATCTTCAAGTCTTTAATTATATTTAGGAATATGGCATATTGTTGCACAAAAAGATATGTTTCTGACCCCAGATCACAGATGTTAGGATTGTATCAGTTTCAAACTAGGTAGGGATTGTCATAAAGATGCTTGTTTTCATCCAGAATCATGAACTAATGCTAGAAATGTACCTGTTGTTCCTCTGAAAGGATTCCATTAACAACTCTGTGTGCATTTTGAATTCACACCAGAAAAGTGTACATGTATTCTGTATGCAAGCAACTTCTTACTGCAATAAATGGAAAACTGGAAAATAACACATACTATTCTTTATTTCCTTCAGAAACCCCCAGAAGCTGTACCTGGAGACTCACCAGTCCTTTCTGATCTCATTCCTATAATCAATGATCAATCACAGTACATTAACCATTTGGAAGCAGAAGTGAAGTTTTGCAAGGTATCAGACAATATATTTGACCTACTAAAACCCTGATGCCCCAAATATGAATAACTGCTTTAAAAGTAACTTATCTTTGACTTTGGATTGCTTGTTGTAATGACCAAAACTGAGCCAAATGCAGTTCAGTAGATCCCTTACCGTGTTTCTTAGTCTCTGGTGTTTAAGGGTCTTTAGGAGATTTTTAGTCCTAATACAAATAAGCTTTTTTTTTTAAGTAGTTATATGGGAATTCAAGCTGCAAAAATACCATGTATCTTTTGAGTATTCTTACTCCCTCTTAAAAGGGTTAAAACAGTTGAGAATGTTAATCTCAACTGTTTGGTCTCAAGATGTATTCCAATGTTGATAGCTGTCTCAAGGAGCCTTTTACATGCTGATCCTTTATACTATAGGAGGAGTTGTCTGGGATGAAAGATCAAGTACAAGCAGTTGTACTTGAAAATGAGGAACTTCATCAGAAACTGAAATTCTTAACTGCAGAATACACATTGAGAGAACAAACTCTTCTAGATGCCTCGGTAGGTTTTTAGTTTTTGTCGTTTTAATCAGTGCTCAGGGACCTGACCTGATTCTTTTTATGGAAGGCTATACAAATGGTTATTTGCTAACTGAATTTTAGTCAAAACTTAATGAGAATTTGCAAACATGGATTTCCTTGGGTAACATCATTATCATAGGTTGCTAACCTAATTAACTTGTTTATTGGTTCTTATATTCTACTGAAATTTGTAAGATTCAGTACTTACATAAGTAGCATTTGTTTAAAAAAGCAGCCTGCATGATTATAACTGAAGCATTAATATTTTTGTTTTAGGCAAATACTCAGAACTCCTGGCCTGCAGGTGGTAAAGACTTTAGCACGCCTCAGCCTGTCACCTCATCACCAGCACGTAACAAAGATCAGGCTTTTGTTACAGCAGTTGCTGGAGGCATAGAAAAATGGCCTGTAGAACTGGTTGGTATAAACTTTCTTCACAGAGTCCTACCTTTGCAAAAACTTTCAGTCCCTTGTTGTTGCTGCAGTTCTGATGATTAATTTTGTAACAGACACAGGAGGAGTTTTGGTTGACTGAACCATAATATGACCTCAAATTTTATGCTCTTAAACCTCATCTTCTCATTATGCCCTAATTAATATTATGCAGTTAGATACAGATGGCAGGTTGTATCTGCAGATGTTGACTTTCCACAGATAAGTTGTTTAAAGATGATGGCTCCACTGTACTTTGGAGATTCTTAGTTAGTAACACAATGCCCAAGCAGGTGGGAACTAGCTGGTGTAATTTATGTTGCCTTCTACACAAGCTCTTTTGCAATGAGTTGTTCTGCTCCTGGCGCAGCATGGGCTCAGTGAGGTACAAAAGTAGCTTTGTGCGGTCGGCTTTCCGTAAGCTAAATTACATGCTTTTGGCTTTTAGACATACAAAGGTATCCTAGTGATTGAGAGATGATGTTGTCTCTATCCTGTATTTTTAGTTTGGCAAGATATTAAATTTTTCTTTTGCTCTGGAGTAGTGGGGTGGCATTGCTGTCTTTTGGGAAAAAAGCTTGATTAACTGAAAAGTTTTGATATTTTTAATCCATGTACATATGTGCACTCTAAAATGTATAGGGTCCTTTAATTCTTCAATTAAATGTATTTTTAAATTTTTCTCTGAAAAATATGGTTTTCTTATTTTTATGCTATTATTCTTAGTGATCCTTTATGCCTGCAGTTATTTGAAAGCTAGGTTTTTACATTAATTGCACTTTTCTTCATCTGTCACATTTAAAGCAAGAGAATCTTGCATAGTGAACTAAAATTTTAGTGCTTTCTCTGATTTGTTATCACCATTGCATTTAACATGAGTGTAGTTGATTCATATAGTTTGTTCTTCACCAGGTAATAAAAGTAACTCACTGTATTATACACTGTATTATAAATAAATAGCCTGTCTACTTCCAGTTCTTTGGAATTCCTCTTTAATATCTTCTGACTTACAGGAAAGCAAGAACAAACTCGGGATACGATCATCAATTTGGGTAAAGCATTTTAGAGGGCTACAGTTGGAGCTGAAACAGTTTACCATATGAATTTCTGGCTAGATATATAGAAATAAGAAAATTTTCATTTTGTAGACATTCAGAAGTGTGAAATATTTAGGTTTCTCTGCTACTAGTGTTTCAACAAGTTTATTTCTTCAGGGGAAAAGAATGAATGTGTCTGAAGTCTAGGTTTATTTGTAAAGACTATTATGAAGAAAGCCAAAGACACTTCTTTTCTCCCATATTTTCTAAAGGAGAATCTAAAACTTCTTTATCAAGAAAAAGTCGATATCCTTGATGCTCAAATACAGTCTCTAAGGTAAAGTGAAATGTTTACTTTTTCCTTAAAATGATTGTTAATGACTCCATAACAGCATGAACCACTCTTGATCTGAATTTAACTAGGAGAATGCGTGAATGCCTGAGTGTTGTGTTTTCTGACAGTATCCCTGAAAGCTGGTTTTGTGGAAAGTTTTCTCAGATATAAATGCAGCAAAAAAAAAATTGAATATACTGCTACTTTATACAGTAGCAATATAAGATGTCTTTATCAGTTTTACCCTCTTTCCTCAGATAAACACCATGTCTGCTAAGGTACATCAAAGAAAAAAAGAGCAGTTAATATTGTATCTTGTGTGAGACCTTCCATAATTAGCAGTCTTCTACTAATCTTTTATATTGCAAATTTCAGAGATCTTAAGCATCAAAATAGTTTAGGCCACATAATGATTTTGGAGCAGGAATATATAATTTTAAGGTTTGTAGGCAGTGCTTCCAGTTGTGTAACTTGCATCTCTTTAAACACAAAAATATATGAAAGTAAGTCCTCATGTACTCCTCAAAATATTCAACGTTTGAATAGGTAACAAATTATGAAAAAACAGAGGAAGGGGTAACCACTTTAAGATATGGTTTTCAGGACTGAACTTCCACTTGTACACCTGCATTAATGATACTGCTGCTGACTGTTAATTTGTGCTTTTCCCTAAATAAATTGTGGTTTCATATATCTGAAAACTCTAGGCTTTTCTGTCTATGTAAAAAGAGTTACTAGTCGGGAGACAAGTTTAAATAATACTGTCTGCAGTGGTGAAATCTGAAACATGCAAAGCTAGTTGTTTAGTGAATGTAAAGGAGGATCTTAAATTTCAGCTGTTTTTATTTTTTTTCCCACTTGGCTTAAAGTGGTATGTATACTCAGAAATAATTATAGGAGGCTAAAGTAGTCTGAAAATTTCCTCAAGTACATTATTCAGCCTCTTGATTTCTCCCAAGAGGCATGATCTTTCAAACTGTAAGTTCTGCAAAGCTAAATTTTAATTGAAGTGAGAAATTATATCACTTTCAGTGGGACTGTCTTTAACTTCAAGCATGAATTTACACAGGACTTGCTGATTTCTTTCCAAGGCTTTCCAACAATAGGTCTGTTGTACCATGACTGTCTAAGGATATATGCAGAGCAAATTCTGTTCAGGTTATAGTGGATTATATTTAATAGACCAGCTACTAAAATTGGAAAAAGTGCACAGAAGATTTTCCAGATGGAAATAAGCATGCATGCAGTGTATATATCATGTGCACAGTAAATCCGATGCAACCAGAATGTGTCAGACTTCCTATGTGTGTGCTACCCAGATGGCCTGCATAACAAACCAAAAGCTTTGGATTCATTGCACAATTTGTCAAATTGATCTATATGTGCACAGTGTGCGTTTGTCTGGAACTTCCTGATGTTAGCATTCCTACTGCTTGCAATCTCCCCAGCCTGACACATGCTTGGAAATTCTGGAGAAAATTCTTCAGAGCACCTGGTAAAAATTTCAGAGACAAGTAAAAAACTTGGCCTGTCTTTCTGCACATTTGTTTGACCTCAAGTTCATGAATATCCCTGGATCAGAGTGAATGCGCTGAATAGATCTGGATTCTTGTCTTAAGAGTAGAGAGTAAATATGAAGTTAGTGATATTATTAATCAAAACAACAGAAAATTTTTATAGTATTGAAATATTTATACAGCTGGTAGTGTTTCTTGTTAACAAATCTTATATCCTGTTCAGATAATATCTAAGCCTACAAGTTTTTTATCTAATAATTTTCTGATACTACAGGAGGAAGGAACAAATTAACACAGTATTGTTTTCTCTATTATTAACTTTAAGTGAGAAGTTCAACTGTTATTTCTCTAATAAAGTCTTTATTAGCCTACTGAAATGTGTACAATAATTACAGAGATTCTTACAGTTCTTTTTAGTATATTGGATGTGACTATAACTTGCAGAAATGTTTGATTTTGCAAATAATATCTTTTATTTCTTCTTTCTAGAAAAGACCTTTCAGAATCTCAGAAGACATGCAAAGATTTGGAAGCAAGGCTGAAACAGCAGAAGTCACTTGTTTCAGCTGCAAATTGTAGCCGGGTTGGTGGTCTGTGTCTGAAATGTGCACAACATGAGGCAGTTCTTGCACAGACCCATTGTAATGTTCATGTGCAGACCATCGAAAGGCTGACGAAGTAGGTTTGGGGGAGTATGTACTTTGTCATTGAAAGTATGGATGCTTACAATAAACCATTTCAGTCTCAATATGTTGGGTTGCATTCATAGGGAGATGTGCACTATGGAACAGTACACTCCCAAGCTGAAGTCATAATGCTAAAGGCAATGAATGTAGGTCCCAACCATTTTGAGATAGATAATTCAGTTTTTCTACTTATTTCAACTGGGAAGGAATGCTAGTCACTATCATGTAATTATGGTACTTTGGGCTGTCCAGATAATGAGGCTATTTATAGTCTTTTTCCTGCACTTTTTGTACAAACAAATCTTTCTGTCAGCACAAATATTGTGGAAATCCGTGTATTTTGATTGATTATTTCCTGCAAAAGTTCCTAGTCTTTCTGTAGCTGGAATTTTCTCTGGCTTCACTTTGTTCTCCTTGCATTTGGGGAACTTTTCAGGTACATCAGCAGTAGATCAGGTGCTCGGGGTAGGGATTTCCGACCAAAAACACATGTAGTAGATCTTCCCTGACAATAAGTCAGGGAAAAGAAGTTGGATAAAAATAAATGAAATTATTTCCTGCAACTTTTTTTTAATTCTAGCTTTTATTTAAATAATTTTTTAAAAACAGCTGTACAGGCTGAATATATGAAATCCAGAAACCCCAACAGCATTAATTTTTTTTCCTTAGGAATTCTGCTAGTCCACCATCTTGAAAAAAACTCTGCCTCTCTACTTACTAGTAATAATGATAGGACACTGCAACTTTTTCAAACTTGGTTAAACAGCCATTTATTTGTTGTCAGATATCTGAAGCTTCATAGGATTTCTGAAGTTTTAGAATAAGCCTGCTGGAGATTAAATAGTGGTTCAGTTAGAAGTAAGGAGACTGAAGGGATGTAGTCCACAGTATGTATAGTCAATCAAGTGGATATTGTCCCTATGCCTTTGATGGCCATTGCCAGGATTTGTGTATATTTTTCTAATATCAAGTCCAAGAATTTTCTGGGAAAGCTCTGTTGCTGAATAGTCAGTTTTCAAAATCTACATTTGGTAATTATTTGTCACAGATGTTAGAAAATATGAACAAACTATAATTCAGTACATTCTTGTCCTCTTGTATTATAAGGCAGCTCGAAGGAAAAGATTTGAGCTGACCTATCTATCTATCTTAAACAATTACTTCATTCGAGGTTTAACAAAATCTAAAAACTACATCTGCTTGTGATGCAGTTTATTAAAACCAAAAATATTTCAGTAGGGATTTTCAAAGGAACTTTGTCCAATTCTGGTAGAAATTAAATTTCAAAATATGGCTGTTAGTTCTCTGACAAATACAAAAATGTTTTGACCACAAATGTAAAAAAAACCCAAAGAAACCAAACCCAAACACAACAGTTTTCATCCAGAATCTCAAGTTGCACCTAAACTACAGACAGTTTACATTAAAATTCTTAAGGTAAAAGTTTTTAACATGGCAAAGTAATTAAAAGGTGAAGTTAAGCATTACGGTTTTATGAACTCTGCTGCACTGTTTAGTACAGATCTTAGTGTCTTAGTTAACAAAAATTCGTAGGAGATGTAGAATCAAGGTGGCTTATTGATTAGTTAGTTCCAGTTTGTACCAAAGGGATGGGATACAGATTTTCATTTTATATACATAGTGATCTGAATTACTTGTTGAACCTAATCCTTCCTTTTATTATTTTTTCCCTTTTTTACCTTTAATGACAGTGTAATTCCATATTGCATTATTCTGCTTTTTTTTTTTTTTTTTTTGGAATGGATCTGCATTTTGTAATGCCAACAGAATGTGCTCAGCTTCAGTATGTTAATGACTTGAGACCTGCTCTAATTATTGGCATTTTCTGTAATGGTCCATCCTTCTGAAATGAAGGACAGATCATCAAGCAAGTGATATTTTCAATATCTGCCAAGCTAGCAGTATGTGTTGTCATTCACTCTTAACCAATGAATTTTAGTCTTGCTTCACTTACCACCGTCCTTATGTGTCGTATCTGTTAATATTTAATATTTTATATACATGGTGTTTGTTTTTTTTTTCTCTTAAGATACAGAGGAGATATCTTGTTTTTCTTTATATGCAGAGAAAGAGATGACTTGATGGATGCACTTGTTTCACTGAGACAAAACATGAAAGAGATGCAGCAAAGAGAATCTGATGCTTGTAAGCAAGTTGAACATGCTGTGCAAATGGCAGAAGAGGCCAATTTGGAAAAAATAAAGGTAAATTAATCAAGAAATTAGAACTTTTCAGTGTTCAGTTCTACTGCAAATGTTAGTTTTCATGCTAATGAACAAGTATGTGTTAGACCTTTGTCATATGTTGAAATGATGTAGTAGATTTAAAACAATTGCTCTGTGTGACTGTTTCTGAGCAGTAACATGAATGCTGTATTTGAGTTCTTGAATTCTCATCAATACTGTAGGGAGCGTTGAATTTTTAAATTCTGATATAGCTTCACAACTAGGTGATATAAATTCAAAGAATTTTCAAAGGCATTCATGACATGTAAGAGGATAATTTTCGCATCACATTTCTGACCTACTCTGGAAAGAATAGTTAAAAGGCTTACAAACAACTCCTTTTTGCCTCAGATAAGAGCAGTGCAAGAACTGATTAACTATCAGAGCTCTTTGAAGATGAGAAGTCCTGTCTAATGTTACCTGCAGGAAGCTTTTGGTGTTATGTAAATGATAATCTTAAAACCAGTTTTGATGTAATGCTTGTGTTAGCTCTGGAGCCCCTGGTGGTCTAGTGGTAAGGGCGCGGTGCTGTCACCGGCAAGACCCGGGTTCGATTCCCGGTCAGGGCCACTCCCGGGCAGGTGGGGCTCGTTAGCCCTTAAAGGCAACCCACCTACGTCCTAAGGACCTCACTGCCACCGTCCAAGCTCGCTTGGCCCCGGCAGATGAACCTTAGGATTAAAGGGTGGGCTCAGTTCCGCGCACACTGTGTCTCACCTAAAAAATCCAATGCGCAGGCTGGAAGGTGTAAAGACCTTCCCCGGATCTTTGCTCGCGAAGACTGGCCATTATTATTGTGTTAGCTCTAGTTCTATACACAATCAGTCTATATTGACCTAAATTATTTCCTTGATAGGTAGTGACATCTACTGTATTATTAGTGAATTACTATGAAATTGAGAGAGTGTTGGTTTGTTTTGGGTTTTTTTTAATTAAATGCATACAAGATTGATATAAATGCTCTATTGATCAGCTTGGTATTATTCATCCAGTGCTGCAAGAGAAGTGTATGGGTGTGTAGGGTCTTGTCAAGTGCTGTTTGCTTGTGTACAAGTCTGAATAGTAGTTTGGTTTCTTTGATACTCCAAAACTATTTTAATATGAAGGAACAGGAAGAAATTTTTTACTTATGCTGCGTTAATTTAGCATTGTTACATGATACTGGTGTATCTTAGTAACTACAAACAATCTTTTTTTTCCCCAGTCCTATTCTACTCTTCAGTGCTGTTTTTCTTGATAATTAGCGTAGAATCCAGTAGAACAGTCCATATAAGAAAAGTGAGGGGTTAACACATTGAGCTTCCAAATCCTACAATTGCAGTTTCATCACCCTGTTGATCAAAAGTCCAACCTCTGGTGCTTATCATTTAAAACCACCATTTCTTTTTGCCTTTTGGTTGTCTCTGTAGTTTGTGGCCCCTTGCCTGTTGTGTAGGGCAAGGAGGAAGTCTGTTAAGGTTGATTTTACATAGGTGAAGGAAAATCAGGAATGTATTTTCAACATAAATGGCATAAAAGAATAATTGTTTGAATTGCTCACTCTCTAGTCAAAACAATGGTACTTCACCAAAATAGACTGGTGATGTGATAAAAGGGATCCCATGAAGGGTCTCAGAGAATTGACATAGAACTACTGCAGACTTTTAGAGCATTCTCTAAAATACTATCACTTAACTTGCTTCTAATGCCATGAAACGGAGCACAGGGGTTTGGCTTTGAGTAAAAGAAAACAATCAGTTTAATACTGTATGATTCCTAAAAGGAGGTTACTCTAGCTTCTTTGAAACAGGATATCCTGAATATCAGTGAAATGATGAAATGAAATCTAGTTTACTTGTGGGCTAGCAAAGCTGCCTGTAGGGTGCTTTGAATAGCTGGATTTACTTTTAAGAGAGGAGGGTGTTTCTGATTTAAACTTATTCTATCACTTCGGCAGAGATACGGCAGCAAACATTGATAAATATATTTGTTTCCCTAGCTTTTTTATAAGATAGTGTTCTGAGAGTCTTCTTCAACTTATGTTTCTTCTTTTTTGGTAGAAAACACATTTATAACCTGTTGGTTTGAGAACCTCAAATTGAGCAGTACTTTTATGAGGTTTTTAGTAGAATTAATTTTCTACAAACCTGAAATTAAAAAAAAAAAGTTTTAAAAATTGTATTTATCTTTGCTTCTTTCAGGTTTCTTCTTAGCGTTCTGCACTCAGTAATGCACTTCAGAGGGAGAACAAGTGCAAGTGTATACATTTTATTAATTTTGCCATATGTTTTTCCTAAATTATGCAGTTAGGCAGTAACCACAGTATTTGCAAGGAGTCAAATATTGGAGACTGAGTCTGGTGATGTGCACTCAGGAATTTTAAATGCAAGGCAAATAATCATATTTTTAGAAGAACAGCTATTTATTTGGAAAATGCTTCTATCTTTGCCATGGCTCTTAAAAGCAATTAGTTTTGTATGTTTATGCAGTAGGACATGTATATACATACAAACATATACATCTATTTTAGTTTTCTTAGTCCTGTTTTAGATGTTAACACAATAGGGTATGTATAAGCATCGTAATAACTACATAAAAAATAAAAAGATGACCTTTCTTGTAGCAAATTGGTTTCTCTGACGGCATTAGATACATACTGTATTTGTTCATAAATTTTCGTTTTCTTCCACATCAGAAAATTGTTGTATTTTTTTAGGCTCTAGTCCACTGTGAGCAACTGAAAAGTGAAGTGGAACGGCAAAAGAATTCTCTTGAAAGGGAATTGGCTGCCCAGCTAAATGAGAGGGCTAATGAAAAAGAAGCAGTGCGGGAAGAAATGAAGAAAGAAAAGGAGGAATTGGCAGCAATGGTATGAATTGGTTCTTTTCCTGTTTGTGTATTAGAATGAGTGTATCATCCTCTTTAAACTTTCTGTTTGCTTGCCTTTCGTTTTCAGTTTTGGATTTGAGGGATCACTAAGTCATTTCTACCATTGCTTTAAAGCTGTGGTGGATAAGTGATCCTTTGAATGACTGGGTTTTATGCTATGTCACTGCATACATATACTACATTATTGGTGTTATGCCCTTTCTTTTAGTCTGCATACTGTTTTCTAATGCACATTGTCAAAGTAGGAAAGGGTTAAGTAATGTGTGACACAAGGTTTGTACATATCTCTTTTATAAAAATTATTTAGTTTGGCAAGTCAAACGTTCAGAAGTTAGCACATGTCAAATTTAGGATTCTTTGCTGCTTTGATCTTACATATACATTAATGTTATGATATCATAATTTCAGAGTCATCTTATCATATGCTCAGTTTTCCCACCTGCAGAAATGTGTTGGAATCTCTTTTCTCACTTTTACTGATGTTTATAAACTCTCTGAGAGAGAATCTGTCTTATTATTTATGCTGTGACCATTGTGGTAGTCTTGATAACCTTGTTTGAGACTTCTGAATGGTAGTTCAATTTGAATATAAAACATAAAGATTTTCTGCCCGATGGAGTCTACAGACAAAACCTCATGCTAACAGCAGTAAAGCCTGTGAGACGTGATAGAGGAGGCACTTCTAAGGTGATTGAAAAGGGAAGAAAATGTAGAGAGATAAATACTTCATGAATTAGCGATATTCATGCTTGCTTGACGTGCAACCTCTTCAGCTATTTTCTGATGGAGGTTTGGAAACAATAGAGTGAATTTCTCTGCTGATTGTAGGCTTTTTCCATATTTTGGGACTCTTTTATGACTGTATGGCTTATTTCTAAAAATTCAGAGAACACAGACTGAACAGGATAAACTAATTAAGTGTGTTTAAAAAAAAAGGGGGGTGGGAAGGTTCTTTAGCAGTGTTGTTGCTTGTAAAATGACTGGAAAGCCACTAACATAAACAGGGAACCAAGGTGATCTGGTGCTATTTCTGGTATTGTGAGATGGTGGAATAATATCCTAAGTTGCTACAGGAAGTCAAAGCTTTTGACTCCAGTACCAGCTATAAAAACAGGAATTAAGCGCAGTGATAGGGACTAAGTGATATTTAAGTAAGTTAACTGATCATCAGAAATCTGTTGCCGGGGAAACTGAAATAAAAAAAATAACCTTACTCTGGAGACAATGAGACATCATTAAGCAATCCCTTAACTCCCTGCTATCTGTCATGGTATCCCTCTTATGAAGTTAATTCTTTAGCTACAGAGTTGTTTTATTACAGAGTATTCACTCCAAAATACAACCTATTAGATAAGCGTTTCATACTTCTTTTTGGTAGAATATTTCACTCCATGTCATCACATTACTTTATATTTCATCACTCACTGAGATGTGTTTTACTGAAACTGATTCCCACTTTAAGGAGTTGTAGTCCTTTTTTAAAATACTGCATACACATTAAAGAACATGTAGCGACATTATGATGACATCATGCTTGGCAATTAAAGATATGGGATGATTTGGTAGAAAGCTATGTTCTATATTAATGGTATACACCTACATATTATTAGCTGCTTTTACGTTTTAGGATTAATGAGATAGTAGAAATGGTATAGTGTGCATTCACTTCATATGAATATTTTATCACTCACTTTATGAAATTATTTGTTTGAAGGAGAGAATTGGCATGATACATAATTCAGGTGGATGTATAAGGAGTGAAAAATAGTTATGTATATATAATCCTCTAGGTTTGGCTTTGAATTTCTGTAAGTTAACCTAGAACTGTCAGACACCGTTATTTCCACTTATATTAGTAAGCGTCAGGGCTAAATAGCTGAAGGCTCACTGTCTCTGTTTTATTGTTACATTTTTCTACCATTCAGCAAAACTTCATCTGGATTACATTAGAATTTTTAATATACTGTTTCTATATGGGTTTTGTACGACATCATGCTTTGATCTATAGTGCTGAAATGTTTTCTGAAATTGAAAATTAATTTGAAGTCTGTGGTTGCAATGAGAGTTTTCTTTAGCTGGGAGGACATGATTTATTTTTAAACAATCTACATAAGGATGGATAAGAAAGTGATCAATAGTACTCCTACAGCTGCAAAACTAATGCAACCAGCTACTTGTGACACTTTGTCCATACTTAAAATTCCTGGAGACTAGTCCAGTTGATGAAAAGTTTCAAATAAACTACTGTGTCATAAATTAATTCAAAATTACAAACCTATTGTTGCAATAATTTAGCCATATTCTATTATTAATAATAGATGATAAATTTTATTGTACATGCTTATTTTTTGTTGCATTTTTAATACTATGTATTTTGTCTACATGCAGTTGCTTTTGAGGAGAGCTTCCCACAAAATTTAGGTCTGTGTTTGGTCAAATTGTGTCATTACAGTGTTCTTGGACTTTTTGCAGGTGGCAACCCTATCTGAGAATGTGGCCATTTTGGAGGCTCAAATGAAGAAAATTACAAGTGAAAAGAACTCTCTAGTTAACCAGTTAGAACAATCACGGGATCAGCTTGCATCTCATGAAATGGAGATGAATAAGGTAAGCACATTTATAAGTGAGTATTGAGCTTGGTTTTCCTTATCACTGTGACCTGAAAGATGAGAATTTTTTCTTTCTCCATTTTCCTGTTTTGATAAAGAACATGTGATAACAGGCTTCATCTGAATATCCCACAGGCACAGCCGTAGGAGTAAAAAGATAACTTTTTCAGCTTGCCTAGGCCCCTTGTCATGCAAAAGCTAACTTTTCTACTTTGCAATCTGTGTAGATCACTACTTAATACTATTTAAAACTATTTAAAAATTCATTAAAATTGCATTTGGTCTGAATGAGACAACATAGTCTTTAATGGCTACCTCTGGGACATGCAGTGCTAAAATAAAGGGAGCTGTATCAAATTCAAATCACTGTCAAATACTTTCCTTTAGACTTTTTGTGTAGTATACTGCTTTATTCATTAACATTGATTGTATGTCCCTTACAAAGAGATCTTTCTTCTAATTAAGAATTATAGCTTAACGTCTGTCTAGTGTAGGTGTATCACTTTTGTGTGCTTTATTTTGAATGTTTCTCAATCTATTAGAACTTTAATATGGGTTAACATGAGAATGAAAAAAACACTTTGTTACAGCCTCTCGAAATGTCTATATACCTTCCCAAATATCTTTAGGACCCATCCTACCTTCTCAGCTGTTAAGTGCAAGGTTCTTTAGGCCTCTAGAGATTTCTGGAAAGATTTTCAACAGTTCTGTCTTCCCCTGCTTCCCCAACTGGTAGAAATAAGTGAAAGTATTGCTGAAAATTCATAGTAAAATCTCATTGCAACTTACTAGAAATTTTAAGTCCATTTCAGCTGAAAGACAAATGAGTATTTTAAGCATGTCAGAATGGTTTGATTTACCATTTCTGAAACACACTTTTGGTCTTTCAGGCTGTGTTTACAGATGACTAGCACCACTTACAGGGGTGAAGAGCGGGTAGTAGGTATAAATATTTATTGATCTGAAAAGAATAATATTGTAGCCTGCTGATTTGAAGCCATCTCTCAGGAGAGTGCTACTGTGGTTCCAGTCCCTGCTTCAGTTAAGGCTAATCAGTACGAAGTTGAATAGGTGGTTACCTTGCAATAGCCTATATTCTGTTTTAATTGCACTATCCTGAGAGACTGGAAAGCTTCATTTGTGTCACTGTGCTAAACTGAGAAGTCTCAAAAATCCTAGAGGAACACCTTGACCATTGATCTGGCAGGACTATGTGGATCACCGTCACATTTTCCATTGGCCATGTAAGCGACATCTTTGTTGTGAATCTGACTACTTGTTTCCAAACTGAGTTTGCCATTATTAAAAACAGCAAATAGCAACACTTTTGTTTTGAGTTTTGGCTGAAATATTTTTGTCCTCATGTAACAGAAGTCAGGGGGAGAAAAATTTCCTTCATTCCTGAGGAGACTGAAAAATCTGTTATTAGGACAGCACCATCTGCTGATTCTTCTGTGTTACTCACTCTGTACAGTCTGTGGAGGAGCTGAAGGCGAGGATTGCTGTATTTCTTTAATTTTACGTGGAGGAAGTGACATATTGCATTTTGTTTCATTCTTCACGTAAAGGAAGGAGGAGGTAGAAAGAGACAGGGTCTGCAAGCTATGCCGTTGCATATTATGATTTTTTTAGTTGCATATGATATTTTAGTGTTTAAAAAAATGCTTTAGAAGTTTGCCATTCTTTAGAGCATTTGCTGCTTTGCACTATTTGCAGTGGCTAAATTCACAAGCTGTCCTTTGCATTTATAAGTGATGCTACTTCTTAAAAGTTACAACAGTTAGCTTAGTTTTTTCCTGGAGTGATTTCATTACAGGATGCATATTTACTTTTTCCCTACCTTTTTTTTTTTTTTTTTTTAAGAAGAAGGAGAAAAAAATAGTGAAAATGAGAGAAGGTCTAAGACTGAAAATAGAAATTAATTTAGGTTGTAGAATATGTGAGAGCATTTTTGAGAAGCACAGAGGATTGCAGCAGCAAATTAAAGGGTGCTCATTTAGGAAGCAAGAGCTGAAAGAGTGTAAGCAATGCAGGAAAACAGAGTGAGCTGGAAAGAAAGTTGTCTAAGAGGAGCTGTGAATAAACACATTTGCATTCTCATTAGGGAATGTGCATGTATTTATGTTTGGTTAATTAAGGTGAAATGAACAGGCACAAACTGGAGGTGATGGCACAAAAAGGGGACAGCTTAGATTGAGAAATTGAAGAAATCCCTGCACAGCAGTAAAAAAAGTTATGTGGGAGGAATTTTTTGGGTTTGTTTTGTTCTTTTTTTATTTCTTTTTCACTTTCTCTTAACCCCTCCCCAGACCCTCGGAAGATGACAAGCTCTCAGGTGGAAAGGATTGAGGAGGCAATATGACAAACACTCCAACAGCAGAGAATAGTTGTCCTGTGGGGAAGTGATTTCTTTAAATGTTGCTTTGATCCATTTCTTCTGGATTATGGAGATACTTAAATTAGGCATTGTTTTTTAAAGAATTTAAAGTTTGCTATAAGTCTGTAAAGCTCTGATCAAACTTCGAAAATTATTGTAGTTAACATCTAAATTTCTTTCTTAACAGTTAAAAATTGGCATATTAAGAAAATACACCTTTATATAGGAGTGTGATACATCCTTTATTTCTAGGTTTTGAAGTGTTGACATAGACTTTCTTGGGATTTTACAGAGAATGGAAGAAGAATATAAAACTAGTAACTGTATTTTAACTGTATTTAGTGGCGTATATTTACAACATAAATATTTATACTTAGCAAAATCTTGATCCAAATATATTTGAATCTAGAAGGAACTGCATATTTCAAAGTTAATGATTATATAGAGAATTCAGATCCACCTTTTTATATAAAAACATTCACCGTAGTAGACTTAAAATATCTGTAAATTTAAAATATGTTGCATTTCAATGACCTGTAGAGGGCACCAAAAGATCTAATTGCAAACCCTGGTCTACCCTTCAAGCTACAGATCGTGTTGTCTGTGTAATCTAACAGGTGTGTGGAGAAATGCGCTATCAGTTGAATCAAACCAAAATGAAGAAGGATGAGGCAGAAAAGGAGCTCAGAGAGTACAGAACAAAAACTATAAGGGAGCTTGAAATTAAGGACCAGGTAAGAGATAATACTGCTATAACTTTGCAGTTATTAGTAGCCTAAGTAGGGTTATTTCAGAAGCTGGAATGATTCATTTTTCTAATAGTGGTCATTTATTAGTGTTAAATGGTTTCTAAATTAATGGCAAAAAGCCAGCTATTACTGCTAAATAAATACCTCTTGGTTTTCTTAATCTTGTTTTCAGCCCTAGTCTGTTCAGTTTTGCATATTACTCATCCCATGCTTTCATATAGAATTACTCTATCATATGTATTTATACGAAGTACTTAAATTGTATGTACTGTATACATATGTTCATACACTTTTTCTCACAAATAAATCCACACATAATTACCTATACATGCAGCCTGACAGAACATTAAAGACTCTAAGCATAACATAAGGATACTAAAAATGAAAATAATTTATCTTCCAATTTCTTTAAAGATTCAAGGTTAATGAATACTGCGATTCACAAAAGTTTAAAAAAAAACAGAACCAAAACAAAAGTAACCTTCTAGAAAAAAATAACGGTAGAAAAATTCCACTTGGCATTAACTGTTGCTTATCTAAAACTGGGTTTTATAATAATACAAAAATCAGTGTATGCCTTAACAGGTAGTCTCTGAGAAAACATCCCATGCAGTAAGAAGGATTATTAGAGTAACCTGCAACATACTTGGCAAACAGCTTGAACAGGTGTAATTCGTATCTTTTGTAGTGCCCATTTTGTTGAAATTCTATCCATTTTTTTCTCTAGGACTTCAAACTTTCAGTTATTCCTTCATAGTTGTGATTTGCACATGAATGGATATCTTCTGAATACACATATATATATATAAGATGTACATGAGGGTAATTTTTTTAATATGCATTTTGTTATTTGAGCAGCCTATCCAGCAGGTTTTGAATCATTCTTTTTCTTGTAAATAACTGAACACATCATTCCCTGTGTATAAATATATCTAGGGAAAAAATGCAGTATTTCTAAAATTATATTTTTGTTTACCAGTTCCCCAAAGTTTCTTATAGGACAATAAGTTTATTAACTTAAGAAAGTGCAAGCTTAGTCTGGAAGCAATTATTAATTCAAATTATAATGAAAGGATACTAAAGTCCAAAGTAGGAGCTTATTAGATAAAATAACCCTTCAACATGTGTAGAAATTCCTACAGCGCAGAAAAACAGAGGTCTTAAAGCATTTTCTTTTCAGGGTTGTTTTTTTGTTGTTTTTGGTTTTTTGTTGGTGGGGTTTTTTTGGTGGTGTTTTTTTTTTTTTTGTTCTCTCATCCTTTAGGCCTAAGGACACTGAGAAACAAAAAACAAGCTTGTCGTCTGTGCCTTGACAGATATCACAGATAAAAGAGTTGGCATAATCTTGGCATACAAATAAAACAGGATGTGTTTAATAAGATACTTGAAGAAGTATCTTGGATTTTATATCCTGTTCTCCAACTTGCTTCAGGATTGCCTTTTGAACAAATTGCAAAATTTAACAAAATATTTTAACCTCGTGTATTGACATACTGGTATTTTAATCAGTGTGGGTATGAGTACACCAAAATGTGGTGATTTTAAAATTTGATATAAAGTGAAGTGATGTGAGGGGGAGTTCCTATCAGCAAAGATTATTAGATAATTAGATAAAGATTAGATAATTCAGTAATTACATAATTATGTTGTTCAAATATGATTGTTGGTTCCTAAAAAAAAAGGGGAAAACAAACCATTTTGAAATTCTCAGACTCAGTATCTAGCAGCTCTTTATAGCTGTGGCTCTAAGAACCCAGATAGTTCTGGATAAGTCCTAGTATTATTTAACATGTTCAAAGGGAACCCAAGAAAAGTGTTTATTCATTTTTGCCTTGTTCTGTTGTTGTTGCTGCAATTTTTTTAAATCAAATTTTAAGGAATGTTAATAAGTAACTGCAAACTATTTCATGTAAATGAAATGAAAACAGCTCAATCACATCTAGCTTTGTATTTAAAGAAAAACTTGAAATGTTTTATCTTATATGGCACTGAATAGCAAACAGTAATTGTTCTTTGGTCTCTCAGCCATGACCTGACCTTCTGGCTAAGAGACAGAGCTGATACCTTCCTTGGCCACCATCTGTTCATAATAGATGCCTTTTTTTTTTTTTTTTTTTTTAAAAGTAGAGAGACAATAATGTATGAGTATTTTCATGCTATTCTGTATTAAATGATGCTTTTTTTCTGTTTTAAAAGGAAAGAATCATGTTTGATATTGAGAGTAAGTTTACTGTTTCTTGGGGTATAATTGTATTTTTAATTGTGGTGTGGATAAATTTTAGTTTTGAAGATATTTTTTCTTTTATATGTAGTGACTTCTAAAAAAGGGATTAAAACTGTTCAGGTGTGTCAGAATAGGCAAAAATCCCCACATGTACGATTTAGGATCATGAGATACATATATGTCAAATAAATGTAGGTACTTATTTATCGTATGCTGGTATTTATAAAGCTCTTCAAGAATGAACTTGCATCACTTAGGGAATTTACAGGGAGTATATGTCTTTGGTCATATTCTCTTTTATCCTTTTCATATCTTTATTGCTTGGTTAGGACTAATATCAAGGTGTCAATATTTCTTATGATTACCTGTTATTAACATTTTATATGAATATTTCTTAAAATAAACATTAAGAAGCAATGAGCAATGTTTCCATTTAAATTGAATAACTGTTTTGTAATATCATCCATCATGATCCTGATTAACATCAGGATTATGGAGGGAGGTGGGAGGAAAGACATGTACCACGCGGTTTCTCTACACAAAAACCACATCTGTTCATCTGGCCCAGTATGTTGTAAAGTAGCATCACCTACTGCCCTCTCTTTTTCTCTCTCAGCCCTCCCATTGTGGTTGTAGCTGTGCTAAAATAACAGTGTATTACCTAATACTTTTACTGCTTAGGAACAAGCTTTATAAGTGGTATGAATATAATGCCTTCATGGCAGTAAACTGTGTCCACACTAGGGGTTGTACTAGCACAGCTATATCAGAGAAAAGTCACGCCCTAACCTAAATAGCTATTATCAGAACAAAAATTGTGTGGCATATTTGACACAGCAGGACCTCACTTTTGTAATACTTTTTTTGTTAATTTATAAGCACTGCATGGCATAATTTGTGCATTTCTAACAGAAATCATACTTCTGACACGCTAAAAAATTGTTCCTCAGATTAGTCTCACTTGTTCTTTTCTGCTCTGCCTTATAAAAATGAAGTTCACTGTTAATAATTTGCTTTCTGTCTGAAATAATTTATATTTGGTTTATAAAATCTGGCAAGCTTCAGCATGTAGAAGTGAAAACAGTTTTTAGTATTGGTTTATGCAGTCAAAGCCAATTTGGACATCATCCTTATTAGATCTTACCAAGTAACACTGCTCCACTGGGAGTTGTGGTATCCTTGTAATAAAGTAATAGGACATTTTAAATTCAACTTCAGAAACTAACTGCAGCTTTTACATTTTGTTTTATTCTGTTTTGAGGAATCAGATAAATACTTTGATGTAGAAGTAAATCCAAACTGGTAATCTTAACCTGTAAAAAAGCCTTTAAATTTGGGCAGGCGTAGTTTGAAGTGGAGGGTTACAGAGTTCTGTTGCCTATTTGAGGCAATTCCTGTGACAGAATGAAAAGCTTCAGAAATATTATACTAAAACCTACGGACTTTTAAGAGTTTTCTGCATAGCATTGGCACAACCTGTACAAATAGGAAGAGCTACACATCAAAGCATTTTTGTGCAATATGACAGAACCTAAATGATGCCTCTGTACACTATAGACTGACAATTTTGCAGACAAATAAAAATCTGGCAAAATTGCAGTCCAAAAGCATTTTGCCAAAGGGTATTTTGGGAATGTTTATCTCATTTGTCATAAATCCATGATTTATAGTAACCTAATTTAGACATTATAAGAGGAGAGATTACTGACTCTGTGTTCATCAAAAATAATTCAGGCCAAGAATTTGGGTATATATCCTGGAAATGATGCAGAGTGTCCAGTGCAAGACAAGTAACACCTTCTGAAGACCTCGATTCACTGAAACTGTCTTATTAATAGATATCAGGCTTTCGTAAGTCAGCCTTTTAAATACTAGAGTTTTCACAAGCTGTGGCATTCAGCATATCACCAGATGTTCTGAAACTTCCAAGTTTTAATAGAAGTGGTGAAGAAGGGTTAACATTATGTGTTATGTGTATTCTTGTGACAGTCCAATATCTGACATTTTCTTACCTCATTAGTTCTAAAGATACTCTGCAAGTTCTATTTTGAAAAGAAATTCTATTAAATCAGTAAACATATACTTGAGTAATATTTGGCAAGAAAACTTTAAGAAAATGTGATAACCTTTACTGTAACTGAACTCTTTCCAAGGAAGCATTTTGTGTTTTGGGCATTCAATGCATTAATTTGAAAAGGAGTAAATAAGGATAAAATGGCAGTACTTTATGCCTTGCTTTGATGTGAATTTTCTGACCTGCTCAGGAGGAACATCACTCTTTTTTATAGCTGAACTTACTAGCTCATCTCAAGATTTTTGAGGAAGACTTTGACCTGCAACCCTGCAATATGTAACAAAAATGTTTAATTACAATTATAATATGTCTGCTGCTGCTCTGCCGTGGCATTGCTTTCCTTTGCCAGCCATCCATTCCATAGGGATCAGTGGTATGAGCAGCCTTCATTAAATTCTTTGTCATTTTTCCATAAGAAAAATCCTAGGGACCAGGATTCCTGGTTGTAGAATTTTCTGTAATGATGGGTCTGCATTTTCTGTATGAGTCTGCTTCCCCTAAGCAGGTCTGCTAAGAGAAAGAACACAGCTGGTAAATCAGGATTTTATTGTTCATAGGTGTAGTTTGCTTATGTAATCTTGTTCCGTGTTCTGTCATCCAGAGTGATGTCATCCCACAGTATATGGATGTGTGATATTCGTGTGCATTAAACATTGTTCAAAGTAGGAAAAGAATTGCACATCTCGT